CTTGCCCCTATTACTGAGGTCCCACAAATCGTATTCTATAGCTTGTCTTAATAAGACTTTAGAAATAATTGTTTATGTTTATATTCAGTAGAACCTGCATTAAACACAGAAGGATACACAATAAGACAGCAGATAGAGCAGGTAAAACTACTTATTTACAAAAACTCAGGCAAATAAATGTTGGTGTTTTGGAAAACTACCTCTTCAAACATCAATTTTATCATGGCTATTGCTTCCACTACTAATTTGCTCTCTAGGGTACTAGCAGGTAGGGAGGGATACTGGGCACTTCATGCCGGTCATTGGCTGAATATACACAGATGAAAGTTGCATTTCAGACTTTATCCTGTAAGATGGGAAACAACAGATAAGTACCATGTACAAAGCAGAGAAACATATTAAGGGAGGCTAAAAAATGATCCAGCAAAAATATTTTCAAAGGAAAAGTAAGTTTCTAAAAACTATTTTTTTTTTTTAAACAAAGAGTACAGTTTTATTAGAAAACAATCAAATTTGAAACTGGCCAAAAATAAAAAGGGTGCCCAGCTACAACTTCCAGGCTACATAATCTGAAAGTAACCCAAACTGCCTTGCTTTTTTGATAGCATTGCCATAGTAATTTTCCTAAAAGATGGATCAGAAGATGCCTGTGTGACAACTACAGGGTTTTATGGGTTGTTTCCCTGCTTATGAAACAGCTTGTACAAATGTACCCAGAGGAAAATTGACCAAGTTACATCGTTGGCCAATCTGTCCTAAAAATCTAATTGATTTTAGACAAATAACTCAGCTTACAGAATCACAGGACAGCTGAAGTGAGAAGGCGTCTCAGACCAACCAGTTTATCCTGTCAGGGCAGAGGAAGCTAAAGAAGGCTGCTGAGGGCCATGTCCATTTGGGCTTAGAAGATCTTCGGGATGCCACAACCTCTCTGGCCAACCTCTTCCAGTGCATGAGTGTCCTCACATTAAAAAGGTGTTTTGTTGTTGCTTGTTTGTTTTGTTTTGTTTTTGTTTTTTAAATGTTTAAATAGAATTTCCTGTATTTGAGATTGTGCGGATTGCCTCATTTTCTTGCTGGGCACCACTGAGAAGAGCTCCATCTTCTCGCCCTCCATCAGATATTTATGCACATGGAACAAATCCCCCTAAGCCTCTTCTTCTCCAGGCTGAACAGTTCCAACTCCCTCAGTCTCTCGACATGCTCCAAACCCTAAATCAACTCAATGGCTCTTTGCCACTCTGTGGCAGCCAGTGTTCAATTTGAATTCGACCCCTTTTCTCTGTCATGTTTATCATGTCTTTATTGTTCAGTTATTCCCAAGGGTGAGCTAAGACTCCTTATTTCCATTTTCTATCCTCATTGCCTTCATCTACTGTTTGGCTCTTCTAATCACACATTCCGAACTACACAGTTTTGATTGCATTATGCTCCCTGGCTTGAGGGTCACTGATGAACAAGACTGAAAACTGTTTCAGCTGCCTAAAAGAACAATAGGGGAAGGACATTTCTGCCCCTTCATTTTAATTGCAATAATGCGGGACTGCACCACTGAAATATTTTGGGGATAGTAAATGCAACAGAGCTGCTACCTTACAGTGATTGCTCATGGTGAGTTTGATCACTGGAAGGTGTTGTCTGCTGCTTTTGTAAAGCAGTTTCAGAACTTGACTCCCATGGAGCATAATGCTGGACTGCACAGCCTGAAAAATACACAACTAATTAGGTTAAAATATCGAAGGAAAAGAATTCATTAATAAGTCTCTTGAGATTTAATGCCCGTATGGGCCTGTATGCCTCTTTCAGAATAAATACTTTGATGAGCTGTTCATCTCCACTCTTTTTTTTTTCCTTCTAATATCTTTGTATTTAATCTTAACATTGAAATGCAATTGCTTGAAATTCAGTTGGGTTTTTAGGAGTTCTGATACCCTGTGAATTACACCTGCTGGGAACTTCCTTTACTTATACTTTGCACTTGGTAGCTTGACGGAGGATGTGTTCCCTCCTAAGTCATTACTGTAAGTTGGGAGATTTATTTGTTCAGTTGGATTTACTTTTCGGTCTCTCCCTCAGGAGTAATACTGCTGTCTGTCTGACTTTATCTGTTTTCTAATCATCACTTGAGCAGGGAATGCTACTCCAGAAATGCCTCTGCTTCCATGGATTTGGGGAGTTGTCTACTGGCCACTGGGTAGTGCTGGGTAAAGGAGAAAAAGCATGTTTCTGCCTTGTAATAAGCAAAATATTTTACTGTCTGCGCTACAGTATCACAACAACAACTCTCATCACAAAGAATAAAACCTACTTCATGCCCCAGCAGAGCTTACAATACTAGTATAAGGAGCGAAAATACACATGGATAGAGATAGAAGGGAGCACAGGAGTCATCCCAGACTTACTATGATAAATTCCAGGTCTTACTTCAAAGACATTGTTGAACTAATTTCTCCTGTTCTTCATCTTTCAAAAGAAAGCTGGAAAAATTGAGGAGACAGAAAGTTGAAAGATTTGGGCACTTGAATTATTTTTTAGTAGAAGGACTTTTATCTTTCAATTTCTGATTTCTGGTATCTATTCCTGCAAGGTAATGCTCCTGGTGCATGTTGCTTTAACTTGTTTGATTAAAGAACACACATTTGCAGTCTTTTTTACATAGATGCATGTATGCACACAAAATGGGCATATATACACACATTTTAATATGTTCTTCACTAATTTTTATTTGTAACAACACCTATTTAATCTTAAAAGAAACTAATACATGCAGCATAATGTTAAACAATCAATTTCAGTACAAGAAATGGGGTTAAACTACTGAAGAAATAAGCAGAACTAGATGGTCCTGTGTGTTCATTTATCTCTCCAAACTATTTGCAATTATTTTATGTCTTACTGTATTCGAATTTCTTCCATAAAATGCCTGTGTTGAAGCAGATTACTAGAAAATGACTAAGTCTAATTCTGCCTCATCAGACAGAATACAGAAAGATGAAATGAAATAAACTGTAGGTTTCAAAAGAGAAACAAGAAAATAAACAGTAAAGAGGAAAAAATAACTCTATGAAATTATATGTACATTCTCCGACACATTAAATCTTCCTTTTACCACCATTCACTGTTCTGCTTTCTTGCAGATTAGAAAAAATACATGCCCATGCAATAAAGTTCAGCCTTTACAGTCAATTGTAAATAACTATTTTAAAATATGCATTTTTCTGATTTGTTCTTTACCCTCTTCTATGCAGTGAACGTGTCTGTCTTTTTTATGTCTGTCTTTTTTTCTCTCTTGCCTATGAGAATGGTGTCTGTGTCATTACTGATATACAAACTTCAACACAACCTGATACAAAATGGTGATGGTAATGAACAAACAGGTGACATTTCAGTCTAACATTTTAGTGACATTTACTAGCATTTTAGCTTAAAAATGTGTTGAGTAAAGATTTTTTTTTTTTTTTTCAGACTTGGGCCTAAGTCTGAACTTATTTGTACTGGATTTAATCACATCTAATTTCACTGAGTTTCTGGAGTAAATGATAGTATGAGCAGAGCCAAGTTACTAGCCAATGGTTGTCAAACTGTGGCTGACAACCCTTTGATAGTCATAAGTGGGTCACAAAGTCACACGAGCTTAGACTTGCTTTGCACAGCTCTGTCCTTGTCAACCAGACTCAATAATTTTGAGTACTTCATAAAGACTCACATGGAACAGAAACCATGTTTTCCAGCTGACTCTGTAATATACTCTGTCATGCTGGAATACACAATATTTACCTGTCTAGGTCCTCCTTGCTCATATAAGAGACATAAAATTACCTCTGCCTGCAGCCACTAGCACCTCCAACATCAGCCCTCGAAAATTAAATTTTGTATGCAATATAAACTAAGTATGAATGTTCTGCAGAGCTTGATATACTACCCAAGATATTCTGTGCGCTCATTGAAAGCCTTTGGAGACAAACATCCAGCTAGACGAACCTAGCTTCTATCTCAGACCTGATGTTATTTAGATGTACCTCAACCACTGAAATCCGGATAGCAACTTGGGGCAGCAAAACAAAGCATAAAACTAAATCCAAACAAAAATATTTTCAGAATCAGAGCTTAGGAGAATGCTAAGGATATCTATAAAGAGACTATATAAATAGTCTTCCATAGTTGGCTGTATTTTATTTTTCTTCCCACTCTATTTCAAAACTGACTCTCTGTAGGCTCCAGATAGCAGAAGCCTGCAGAGAAACCTATCCCAATGCCACCCCCACCCTCTCTAATCTACATTTATTATAATTAAAGTATAAATCATACAGATCAAATCTTCACAAAAGCCTCTATTGTTTTACATTGGCTTCTTTTTTTATTCTGATACTGCAGATAAGTTGTTTCCTTATTCATCATCAGAGAGATTGCTAAAATGTAGGCAGTGACATGACAGGGTAAATGTATGAAGGAACAGAAGACAAATCTTTTGGCTGGCTCATCTTATTGAATATCATCTGATAGTTTTCCTGTCGTAAGTACATGGAAGAGAAGAAACAGTTCAGAAAAGTGTTAAGTATCCTAATATCATGTTGCCTACAAAATATTTTATCAAAATTATGGTTAAACCAATAATATCCAAAGAGAGGCTGTCGTCGGATAATTGCAATCACTTGCTGTAAGCATTTTATAAATAGAGCATTTCAACCTTCAATTTTAGAACTGCTTCTATTCAAAAATTAAATTATTTTTTTGTTACAAATGTGGTTTAAAAATGTCCCAAACAGAAAATGAAATTAAAATTTTAATTTGTTTTTGAGCAAAATATTTTTGGAGGAGAAAATTCCAAAAGATTGTTCCCATAATTTGTTGGATCAACCATTGAACCGAAGAGTCCATAAAGAACACAACCGTACTCTTTAACTACAAACACTGTAATGTTACCTTGCGTTCAAGTGTGTTACTATTTCTTACACTTTATATAACCAGAAGTTATTTAAGGCAATGTTTTTCTCTTATAGGTGTAGATATCCAGAATATGGAAGACCTGATTCCTGCCTACGCCTGTCCAAGATTATACAATAGAAATAATTAATCTGATGGTAAGAAGAGGACTCTTATGTTCTTAACCACTGTTCATAGCTATTGAAGAGATTCTCTGAAACATACTGTTAAATATTTTCTTGCTAGAATGGCTATTGCCAAACTACAAACCACGCACATTGTCTTAAAAGAGGAGTAAAAATAAATAAGAGCATTCACCGCAAATACTCCCGTGAAAAGGTTCCTTCAGAATGAATTAATAAATGGGTTCAAGCCCTGCTCACTGCACTCTGTTGATAAGATGGCATTCCCAATCCTACCTCACAGTTCCATCTGAGTTTGTTCATTTTGTGGAGCACAGAAACTTTATAATTTGCCTTCTCTCAGACATAATTGCTACATGTGTGAAACAGTAGATTAATTTGTCAGGGTTATTATGGTAGTAAGATATGAGATCCTCAGACATGAACGTTTTTGCCCAGATGGATAAAAGTTACAAAATGGTTGAGGTTGGAAACAGACCTCTAGAGGTGATCTTGTCCAACCCCTGTCAAAATAACCCTAGTGTGTTTACAAGAAACAGACTCTTTCTATGCTCTGATCTAAGATGCTATGAAAGTTTAAATATTGTCAAATTTATATTCAGCAGACAAAAAGTATCTTTTAATCCAACCACAGAACTCAGGTCTTCTGAGACTCAATTCAAAGTTCCTAATTAGCTCTTTTACCTATATATTCAGTTTCCACATATCATGAAACAGAAATTGGCCATGAGGGAGAAGGCTGCTGATAAAGAACAGAAAATTCAAAGGTATCTGCTGAGACAACAACTGGCAATTAGGCAAAAGGTGAAAATACATAATCTTGAACAAGTTAGGGAAGGGCAACGGGTTATGCAGGCTAGCAGATGTGCATGAAGTGTTACAGTGGCTTGAGGAGCCTTGGGATAATAAATTCAAGGGGCAAGAGCATGAAAACAGCGACAAATGGCTGCTCCATGGAGGTGGCATTTATGTGGCATGATGTGGCAATTTGCACATATGCCCTTGGCTACTGATACATGATTTGGGATGTTCTATCAGACCTCAGTTGTTTATTTTCCCTTTCAGTTTGACAGCCTTTGTGTTTGCCTTTAAACAAGTAATTTTGCTGCCCAGTGAGACAGAAGCAAACAGAGAAGGTTGTTAATAGGCTATCTGCACTGCCATGGCAATCTCCTTGGGAGATAGCATGGAGGTTCAGCCAGCATGGCTTTGTCTTGCAGCCAAGTCACTTTTCAAACAGCTTGTCCAGGCCCAGAAGCTTTTCCAGCAGCCTGCATGCTGCAGAAGGCCACACGATTATTCTGCTAGAGAGTGGGAACCCGCCAAGCCAGAGCTCTGTCACTATATTAAGTAAGAGTTTGTGAGGAAGCCGTGTGAATTAATCAGGGAGTAAGACAGCAACTTGACTAAATCACTAAGGAAGAGTCCTACAGTAGTAATGAGTTATTGTGTCCCCTGCTCTGGGGAAAAAGGAACATATGTGTCAGGAAGCAACGCTGACTATATAAAATAACCTGGACAAATTACTTGGGGATCTACTGCAGAACAAAAAGAAAAAAAAAAGTGCCTGTATCTCTTTTTCCCCCAAGTGCCATTGTCACAGAATAGTGCCTGCTTGTTTATTTTCTACTCAGCTGAAAATCTAAAGATAAAACCAGGATATTTCAATTGCTTATATGTATTACACAGGGAGCAACAGAATTAGGTAAAAAGGAAAATAATTGCCTTTTAAAAATCACTGATCCATCAAAGAAATCTAGTTTGCAGCTGTGAAAAGTTCAGGCTACATGTATTCTGTTCTGAAAGTGGCAGGCTTGTGCTTCAATGGAGACTGCACAAAGCCTGCCTGGATTCTCCAGCATGTTACTGGGCAAATAGAAAAATGTCTATATTCAAACTCGAGTACTTCATGGTTATTAATGGAGAACCTATGGTACAGCAAGTTGATCATTAATATCTGTGAAATATTCTTACATTGCACATCCTCAACAGCAGTTTACCCAACATCCTAAAATTCAGGAAGACTACAGTTATATATTTTTAAGTGTAATACCTACAAAAGTACCTAAGGAGGCCTTATAAAAGATAATTTTTGAATAATCTTCCCAAGAGAATGTGAAAGTTTATGATAACTGCAGTCTTATGGTTTTGTTGTTGTTGTTTGTTTGTTTTTAATCAGTGATAGAGCTGAGTATAGTCCTGTCCTGTCCAGTCTCTCCTCTCCTGTCCTGTCCTCTCCTCATCTTTGCATGTCTGATAACTCTTCCTTGTTTGTCTGTTCTGCACATATGTTCCTCACAATGCATGTGAGTATATTCTTATGAAAGAGATGGTTTTAACTCTATTTGGCAAATGTGGGACTGAGACACAGTGATTATTGCCTGTGTTTCTTAGCAACTGCCTGAGATGCTTGATTTGTTGAGACTTACAAAAGAGAGCCTGTGGCAGGGAGCAGTGCTGGCCCATTCTCTTCCCTTCCAAAATTCCCATATAAGCAAGGACACTGGAGCTAGGCAGACACCCCTTATTCCAGTGCTAACATGAAGTAATTCCACTGAACATTTCTACAAGAGGATCATTACTATTAGGCTAGCTTAATCTCTCTGGCTCTGGTTCAAAACCCTGGTCCACAAGAGTACCCAGCTGTGTTCCCCGTTATTGTCCATATTTCTTATCGAACATAGCATGTTAGTTCATCAAGCTGAATAAGGTCCTGCTTCATTCTCTGGTGCATTAACTTCCTTTAAACCTTATTCTATATTAGCTGACTCATTGCAGCATATAGCTTTTAAAACTAAAGGACACAGTGTGCATAAACTTTGTAGTTAAGATAACAGTGATATTCATTTGTGTATGGTAGCAGTTCTCCCACATAGCACAGGAGATAAACTGCTGCTTGAGGCATGTGACAGCCTTTAACACTTATTTGCCTTTTCAGAGTGCCAGCAAAATTTCAAGGAAGAAACGGCAATCACCCATCACCAATTACTTTTTCCCACCAAATCTCTTCCTTCAGAATGTATCAAGAAAAAAAAAAAACTCTCATTAGGGGGTTATTGTCTGTAGTTGAGGATGTAAAAAGGAAAATAAAAACCCCTATTGCTAGGCTAAGAAAGTATTCCCTTCCTGAGTGTGTAAATGTTAATCGGATAAAATAAAAGGCAGTACTAATGGCTGATTTAAACCCAAAAGCCCAGAGACATTTACATTCAGTGCATTCACCCAAGTAAGCCTCTCTACTGAAGTAGGGTAGATGATGCAGTTTTCAGCCACAATCATGATGCCTAAGATCAACTGGGTAAGTCAAGTACAAAAAGCAAATCTAGCTCACTTTCCTGATTTTTATTATCACTTTAATTTTACTTAATGTTCCTTTTTGTCATTTAATTTAATCTTCATTTGAAGGGCTGTAGCTGCTACAGCAGAGATGTAACAATATACAGGGAGATCCCCTTTGAATCAGTCTGACCTGAGTGAAAGTGAGAAAGCTAACGGAAGCTGCAATAATACTGTTGCATTTCTTCATTAATCTTTATTATGCTATAATTTTTTTCACAGTAAAATGAGGTTTGCATGTCAGTGCTGGCACTGCATAGAATGCTTTGTTGATACTGGCCTTAAAGAATTCTCCAGCTATCCAGCATTAGATGGGAATCATGAGCAAGGGCCTGTAGAGTCTGTACCCAGCTTATTTTGTCACTACCAGTTTTGTGATAAATCTCCCATCTCCCACTGAGTAACATGATCTCAGGGATCAGGCAACAGGACAAACAGAAGGCTGCAGCTGACTACAGGCTTCTATTTTGGCATGGTACCTTGAGGGCTGGCGTATTTCTTCATTACTGTTCTATATGCATCACCTCCAAGTGATAAACGCATGAAATACCCAAAATGAGACATAATCTGAGAACTGGAAAAACAGAGGTTTCCTTTGCAGACAGTGATCAAAGAGCACCTCATTTCCATTCCAGCCAGCATACAGACAGCCTATGTCAGGTTTATCTGACAGTGCATCTGAGCTAAGTTCTTCCACATCATTTGGCATTGTGAATTTTAACGACAAAAAGTGTATTGTCAAGAGGATTTGCTAAGAACTTTTCTTTATCTTGTCTATGCTATTGCCACATCTTAAACTGCATTGAAATCAATAGGCAGTATAGCAAAGCCAAATAATTTCACTTACCTGTATTTCCACGTGTTCTGAGCCAGGGCTTCCCAGAAGACTACAAAAGGTCACATATAACCTGCAAAGAATTTGTAGAAGATTTTCAAAGGAAGTCCTTGCTTGAGACATTGCATTTAATGTAGGCATTACATTGAAGATGAATTTTGCTATACAGCCCTCCTAAACTGATTTCTGATGTTTTAGCATCCTCTCATGAGCAACACTTGGAAGTCCTTCCTCAAGATTTTCTAAACCACAGATCTTTTATTTTTAAATTATCAGTGCTTGTTTCTATTTGAAGGTGACATCTCTGGGAAAGTTTGAACAAAATGCCTTCAGGCCTCTGATTTATGAAACAATGTTAAAAATACATAGTCAGGCATTCATTTCAATGATTGCCTCTTACTACCAGCATTAACATGACAGTTCTCTTCATGATTACAAAAATAAATATCCCCACCCAGAAGCATTACTGAGATGGTAAGCCTGATGGATCCTGGAGTCTGGTTTTAGAACATGGAAGGAACTCTTTCTCTGAATATTTGTAAGAACTGTGCAGAATTGATATTTGACTAGAGCAGCGTTCTAGCTATATGAATTAAAGTGATACTTTCCAAGATACTCTCCTTGCACGAAATATTCACTTTTCAATCAAATTGTACAACATTAATAGTACTATATTGAAGCACAGAAAAACAAAGAAAATAAAACTTAGCACACGCAATTAAATGCATAACTGGGGAAATAGGGAGTGGCTAGGAATAGACAGCAGCAAGGAAAGCATATCTAAACAGAAACCTCAGGTTTTACATTAAATTGATATTTTATCCAAAATTTGTCTTAACTCCTT